AGGGGGTCCCCAGTTGCAGGCGTACACACACTTGTGTGTGTGTGGGGTCTTAACCAAGGGGACAATTTCTTTCGTTCGGCAAACTGAGGACCAAGTTGTAGGGACGTTTCTCTTTCACCAAATTTCCGCGCTTTTTGGTCCCCACAAAATAGATGAAATAACATAAGACACCCTACAACAGAACAAGTGCACTAACCTTACATACCTAGTGTGGACTTGTGAACAAAAGATGTCTACAGGATGCGGGACAGGAAGGCATTCTGTGGACTTACCCATGTCCACAGGACGTTTTCCCTTCTCTGAAAAGTATACCGGTAGAGTCATTTTGGGGATAAGGTTCATCTGTCATGAAAGGAAGAGGAACCTTCAAGAAAAATGAGTATTTTCTTTAATTTTCTTTTACATCACGTGAACAAAGGAAGGTCCACACAAGGGATGTAGGGTGAGTACCTTGGTGTCTGCGTGTTTAAATTCTCACCCTTTTATTTGTTCTTAATAAATTGTTCTGTGATGGCGTCAGAACTACTCTCAATCTTGTCAACTTCCCAGGGAAGTGTCTTTCTGTCTTCCCTTGTGCTTTATTTCTGGATTATTGTTCACCCTTCCAATAGGGATGTCCTGGAGACAGTTACGCCCAAGGAAACACCCGTTGTGCACGAGCTGACGACGGTGATCCGAGAATGGGGTGTGTTATGGAAACAGCTCTATGTGGTAAGTCTGCCCATCATTTGAAACAAATGAACCCTTTTGTCTTTGCACTGTCCAGAGCAGCGGCAGCCCCGCACGACTAACGGTAATTATCCAAAGTTGCAGACCACAAAAGCATTTTGTAACAGAATTCCAGAGGCTTACATGGTGTTCCAGGTTCAATGGCTTGTTGTGAGCACCCCTCAAACAATGACACTGACAAATGGGAAGAGCCACCAACGTTGGACTGGACAGTTCAGTTGGTGGAGCACCGGTATCCCGCACCAGTCAATTTCTTTATTCATCTTCATGACCGCAATTCCTGAAGAATTGAATAGAGCACCATATCACATCCAAGATTTGCCAGCGCTGGCCCCCCTCCCCCACAAATAAAATGTCCAAGACCCATATGTTGGGTTTATTATCCTTTCAATTTTGCATCTTCAGGTAATGACCTCCTTGTCTTTGTTTTTCTGTCGCTGGTACTTTGATACAATTAAGAGGACCATTTTATTATTGTTACTGTTTTGATACTCGAGCAGTACAATGAGGTAAAAACCTTATTGTTTTCCAGGGTTTGGGTGAAGCAGTGTCTGCTAATACTTATTAACCCTATTGGCCTAACTCCCTTGGCCCTTTTTGCCAGGGACCCCCCCTCAATCCTCCCAAATCCTCCAAAACTGCCAGAAGGATTTTGGAGAAATGGGGAGGGTTAGGGTTAGTTTGCCTCTTCAGTTTGTAAGTAAAATGATCATCAGCAGCACCTGTGGGATCATTAGATTTCAATTATTCAAATCGCATCATAATGCCAATGATTTTTAATTGTGGCGAAAGTCCACCGTGCATTTCAAGGAGGTTTTCCATGTCAGGACCAGTCATTAGAACGGCGTATGAATACTGCATCCTGCATGCGATACCATCAGACTACAATGGACGTATTGTTCTTTCTCTGACCTCAAACTTCAGAAGATAAACAGGGAACTATTCAACACCATCCACAAGATGATGTACGAGCTGATCGACAGCCAGAAGCAGATTGTCTCCGGCACCCTGCCCGTGGACGAACTCAAGGAACTCAAGCAGCAGGTCACCTCCAAGATCGACTGCGGCAACAGGTAGGGTCGACGGGCCTCAAATGACTCCGAGCGCGGTGACTGAGAAGTACAAAGCGAGCGTGCCTGTAGCGTGTCTGTCAGGATGACAAAGAACGTAAAAAATGCAGTTGTGAACTAATGCAGCAGCAGGAAGTCAGTCGTACAAGTAGGTCTTAGGTCCGCAGGTTTTACAAATGGGTTTAAATGTCTCCCTCACCAATCAAATGCTGTGGCCATCCAAACTGCTCCGGGGCCTCAAGCTTACTAAGAACAAGGATAGCAAGTGAAGGAGCAGTGGTGACTAATGTAGTAATGCCATCTCTTTGAATAAGCAAATACATTGAATATTTCTGCTGAATGTCGTTGGTACTCGCTTTCAAAAGCCCAAGCTCCATTTCTGGTCATGTGATTGTGTTAACAGCTGTTTTACGCTTGATTTCTTGCTCATCAAATTACAATCAACCTCAGACCCGAGGGCTGACCTCATACACAGTCTCCAAATCTCATGAAATGAATCTTTCAACCCCCTCCCCTGTGTCTTCCCGATGTCCTCCACACGGAGATTTACCGGAATGGGCACCATCGAGGAATGGAGAGCCCAACCAAAATTGATTCATCAAAGCTTCGCACATTTCTTTGCATTACAGGGCTCTCGGGCTAGACCTGGTCATCCGAGATGAGGAAGGAGGCATACAAGACCCGTTCTCTATCAGCACAGTGGCACTCTTCAAGCAGCATGAGACAGCAACACAAAGGATAGGCCAGCAACAGAACGAAACAGTAAGCATACAAGCACACAATCCCATAATCACCTCAACTCCTCCAGAAACCATCAAGGTATGAATTTCAAAACCTACGTGTAGCATTGGTAAAGGCCCAGTTTCAGCATACTCAAAATGTACCCTAATATCCCAATGTTGAAACTTGTACCAAGCCTTTAAAGTTTCGCAGACTGGGGTTCCTCTCATTTGGGTGAAATGACTGACGATCGGTTCTCTGATCTGCCTCCAGTTCAGTCTAGGGTTGCCCAAGATCCCTAAACAAGCCAATGTGTATTCCTACAATCTGTTTGTCAACTTGAAGAACGTCGTCTGCAGAATCGGTGAAGATGCCGACGTCTTGATGAGCCTATATGACGCCAAGGAGCAAAAACACATCAGGTAAAAGCCTGTTTTTTATCATCCATTTCAAAGCTGTCAAGAAGAGAATCATTTCTAAGCCATTTAAACGGCAAGACGGGATCACGCTAATTTATAAAATTACAGTGTAAAATAATACTCTAACCTTGCGCCAGATTTGCATTTTTTTTCTCCCCCTGCTCATCAAGACAATGAATTGTACTCCTACGAATGCAGGAGTACGTGGGGACTTAGAACAATGGGTCCATTCCTCCAGTGCACTTGCATCAGAAGGGGAAAAATACGTTTGATCCTTGCCCTAAATGTCTTGCTCAAAGACACAAGTGTTTCAGTCTCTCCTAGCTGTCTCTAGTACTTTAAGACTGACACACTAGGTCTGTTGGCCAGAGCGCGGCATAAAAAACTGGTCAAGAGAATTGGAGAGACTATACTAGAAATTTCTGTTCTCACAATTTTACTTTTCCAGTGAGAGTTTTGTCGCCAAATGGAGCAGCAAAGGCATCCCAAGAGATATTAGTCTCTTGTACAGCCTCAAGACGATCTTCACGGTAAGATGGTACAACATGGTCTTCTTCAAAGTTTCTCGAGCCCATGTTCTTTCAGAATAATTACCATATTTTATGAAAGTTTCAAATGCATGAAAACAGTACAGTTCTATCGTTTTACAGGTCCGTCTGTATCTTGACAGGGGGTCATTTATTTCTTCTTGGGCTTCTTTTTCTTTTCAGGATCTTGGTGCTAAAGATCTCCAGAGAGAGAGAGTGTTCCTGGTCTGTCAGATTATCAGGATAGGTGAGGCACCAGAACCAGATTAGAATACAAATTGGCAGTTCTCTAGGGGATGTAAATGCTGGTTCAACTCAAGCTCTTCATAATCCATCCAATTTCCAAATTGCTTGGTTTTGTTGGACCCAGACAACATCTGGCAAACTATTTCTTGCATTTCATTTTCCCCTGTTTGACAAATCTGTCACTGCCACAATTTCTGTCACCTTCCCCCCCCTTTACGCCTCTCTTTATTTTGGGGGACACTCTTCAGGTAAGATGGAGCTTAAGGAAGGAGATAACAACAAGAAGTACACCACAGGGTTGAGGCGGCCGTTTGGCGTCTGTGCCATGAACATCAGCGATATACTGTCGGGCCGAATCGAAACGGACGAGGACAAGCAACACTTCCTCCCCTTCCAAGCGTAAGTCAGCTTCACTGAAAGGCTCGGCGTGCTTGAGGCCGCTCCACTCTTGATGGGAGAATGTTTGCTTGGTGGTTAAGGTTGGTGACTCCTGAGCAGGGGGTCCGGGGTTCAAATCCAGCTGCTGGGTTAGCCACTTCACTCCTGCTTGCCTCTCTTCACCAAGGATCATGAATGCTGACCACCATCATAGCCGGGCAGCCACCTGAGATGAACTGGCATCACATCCAGAGGGAATAGAAAATAATGTCCTGCGTTATTTCATGCTGTGAATCTGGCAATAAACATCAACCTGATGGACCACAGCGGCTTGCGACGGTTGCATTGAATTCTTTGTCGATGGTTTCTCCTTAATATTGCATCTTTGGCTTTCCATAACTGCAGGAGTACCGGGGAAGATTCACTGGATAGTATGGTGCGCAAGGTGGTGGTCGCCAGGGAGATCAACCACAAGGGTCAAGGGATCTGGGTGGGCCTGAAGATGATGCCAGGGGACATCAAGCAGGTACCTGGTTAGACGGGAGTTCAAGTCTGAATCATGCCTCACATTATGCCTGTGTGTTTTGTGGACTTGCCCTCAAGTCTTGTACTCAAAAATGATTACGCAGTCCTCAAAAATATTTTCGTGAGGAAAAGTTTGGGAATAATTTGTCGCAAGGTAATTGATAATCTTTCTTAAGCTTGATTTTATATTTGGAATATTCTGGCTTCATAATGGGATTGCGTCTGTTTTTTTGTTTGATTAGGTCTGGAAGGACTATCCACATCTCATGGACAGCAAGACGGCTATTGCCAAGAAGATGGGCTTTCCAGAGGTCATCATGCCAGGTCAGAGGTCATGGTAGATTATGTCATAGTCTTGTTTACCTGATCAGTATCAAGCTAGATCGATCATGGACTATGGTTAACCTTTATTTGGCCCACCCACATCAACTGCGTGCTAGTTGGCAGTTGTTGGAATAGTCAGTGCCAAGTTTGTCATGCCCCTGTCTTCTGGTGTCAGGTTCGACCTCCTAACGTTGACCCCTTTTGACTTTCAGGTGACGTCCGCAATGACGTCTATGTGACCTTGTTGCAAGGGGAGTTTGATCGAGGCAACAAACCCAAGGCTCGGAACGTGGAGGTGTCAATCGAAGTGTGCTCCAGCAATGGCATGGTCCTTGAGGTGACAGAATAATCATGAGAGTCTATCCTCCGATCTGCCCCAATGTTAGGACAAATCAAAATTGTTAACTGTTTCCATTTGTTCCTGCATGACCTGTTTGACAGCGTTGTATTTGAGTCCATCGCAAGTTCCTTCACAAGACCAGTCACAAGTCCCTTCACAAGGCCAGTCATAAGTAACGGGGTGAACGATGACAAAGGAATGCTTTTGTCACAGCTCATTTGAATAGCTTGTGAATTGGCTGAAGACTGAATGACTTGTGATGGACTCAAATACAAGACTTGCTTGACACCACATGCTCCTCAGTAAGATGTCAGATCCCTTCTTGCTGTCATTCTAAGACCAGATTTCGACAAGTTATTACCGAGGCATCAGCTCTTTGTTGATAAACATCATTCTTCCTTGTCTTTATCAAGTAAATTCTCCAATTAACCTTTTATCCTTGATTTCCCCAGGATGTTATCTACACAGCAGCAGGTGAGCCACCAAGCAGTAAATACCAGTCTGTCGTGTACTACCAAGTCAAATCGCCCAAGTTTTACGAGACTGTCAAGGTGGGTCGTCAGGAAATTCCTGGAGAAAGTTTGCATTGGTTAAAAAAAGGGAGATGATTAGATTAAATCTTGAATTGTGCCTTCACTAAGGACAAACTCTTTCTTTTTCATAGGATTTTTCAGTTGTTCAAAAACATTTTTCTAGTAGAGTAATCAGATTATGTTGGATTTTATGCAGGTAGCTATACCCATCGAAGAATTCTGTCAGTCGGACACCCACGTGAGGATAACGTTTAAGCAGAGATCCTCATCAGAAAGTAAGCACAGTCTCTCCTGCACCACTGTCTTTCTTGTCGTTTTGTCGTTGTATAGGTCGCTGTCCTGGTGTAATAATCAGAACTGTAAAACAAAGAAGTTCATTTGAATCTGATGATGTGATCTGTGCAGCGCCAAATCCTAACCTCGAGGTGTGTCCCAAACAGGCTTCCAGTGGCTATGGCTAGATCTATTGTCAGCAGGTCTCTGTGTATTTCCAAAAGAGTGGATACCTAGACCTGGCACTAGACAAGAGATTCAGATTCAGCCTCAGTTGCCATAAGGAATTTCTCTTTACAAAAACGTTTTTCCCCTTCAGTGGTCTGTACCATGGTTTACTGTGTTCTGGGAAATTGGTTGCTCTTTGTTCATCCAGTGCCATTCCCAAACATTTACTTTATTTGCTAATCAGTCGTCCGCTGAATCTGGGTCCAAGCATTAACTCATGGTGTCACCGTTTTCATAGTCTTTAAATATGCTTCGCTTTAAATTGACACCCGTTTCAGCCAAAGACAGACAAGAGAAACCGTTTGGTGTTGCTTACCTCCGCTTGATGACGGATATTGGGACCACCATCGTCAATGGGGAGCATGACCTGTTGGTGTACAAGGTAATGTAAAATCACCTAACTGTGTTCAACCTCTTCAAGTTTCTTCAGTATTTCTGATTGTTTGGCTCTATCTTTCATCTCCCTTACATTTAATTGGTACAGAGCCTTGTGTGAATTCCTGAAATGTAGTCAAATTTTGGTAAAAAATTTCCATTTCTCTTTGGATAGGTAATCCTGACTTTTTCATCTTGGCCAATTGGGGTTAGCCTGCTCATTAATTTGAATGTTGCCAGCGATGTGGGGGGGGCCCTTTATTCAGTCGTATGCTCAAATTTTGTCTTGGTCATCAGAGGCTGCCTTAGGTCAAACCAGCAACCTCTGATATTCTGTTGAGTAACCCTGGTCACTGCTACCAGTCGAGGGGCTCTCCAGGCATAGATGTGCAGCATTTTGACCAAAACAGAGGCTGTCTGAGAATTAACTTGCTGTGGCTTAGAGTAATACTCAGGTCTATGGCAAGCCACTTGCCAGTGGCTTCCATAGGCTTATATGTTATATCCAGCCTCAGCCATAGCTTTCAGACATGGCCTGACTCTTGTACGACTCTTCTCCACTATCCCCTAAGTGCGACAAGCTGCAGGACACCATCAGCACCCACTACCTGGACCTGCCCTCCACCCGGCAGGAGCTGGAACGACGCCACCAGCACCAGACCAGCAGCGGCAGTGGCGGGAGCTCCAGCAGCCTGGGGAGCACAGGCAGCCTGAGTCGAAGCAAGGGTTACGGCCTGAGCTCCAAGGACTCGCTGCAGATTGCCACGCTGGTCTGCTCCACCAAGCTGACACAGAACGGTAAGCACTGGCAATATATAACGGGCATGATCAGCCATTCGTCATCCGGTCATCTTTGTGACAGCACTCTCCTTCTGATAAGATACCAGATTTTACACCTTGAGCTACTGATGTCTTTTCGAGATCTGAACACACTGACCCTAAAATATTGTAACTGATAAAATCTTGGATGGGTTTGATGTTTGGTTTCTGTAGAGCCTGTCCAGGAGACGGTCCTGGTAGTCAAACTGTATTATACGTCAGATCAATCTAGTGAACAGATATTTGGAAAATGACTTCTTCTGTCTTAACCCTAACCCCCAAGGGTGTATGTAAAATCGTATTGAAATTGGAGGATTTAGGACTTTTAGGGTTAATAAAATAATGTGCTAGCCTTGTGTTATTCTTAGGAGTGCTTCTGATTTTAGTAACTGTTTGGGCATTGCTGTTCACTTGTTTCTAAGTTGTCTGTGCTGTACCTCAAACACCAACAGCTTTGCAAACTGCGGTAAGCGAGGGTTTGAACATGGACACTTAATCAGTGTTTCCAGTTATGGATTTCTGGCACACTGCCTTTTGTATTTGACTTGACAGTTGACTTGCTGGGTTTGCTGAAGTGGAAGTCAGACCGGAGTAACCTGCAGGCCAACCTGGAGTCCCTCATGAAAGTGGACGGCGAAGAAGTGGTCAAGGTATACTCACAAGTTGTTGAAGAATTTCAGTCCCAACCGTTTGGGTTTTCCCTGATCCAGCAAATGTATGTAGAATTGAGTCCATTTACCTCCTGCTTAAAAAGAAATCAGTTCCCTGATCGTTGTCTGTCAGATTTAAAGCAGAGATTTTTCTCATCTCTTGCGTAGTTTCTTCAAGACACCCTGGATGCACTATTCAGCATCTTGACAGAGTCGCCACAGTCTAACGAGTACGACGAGCCAGTCTTCAATGCCTTGGTAAGTCGTGGTACCTCCAGTCACCCACATGAATCTTGCGGGGCCGGGCCTCTAGCCACATGCACTAATCTTTCTCTTCAAATCTTGCCCGTCTTCAGATCTTCATCATCGGGCTGATAGCAGATCGGAAGTACCAGCAATTCCGACCAGTCCTAGATGCCTACATCAAGGAACATTACAGCGTAACCTTCGCTGATGTGTAAGTAGCGGCAGTTACGCTTCTGATGTTATCATAAAAAACCTTGCTGCAGTTCAGCTGGTATTTCTGTCGGTCTGTCTGCCTCTCTTGCTGGGTTTCCTGTAGGTTAATCTACAATACATATTTTGTACTTTCAGCAAGCTCATGAGAGTCTTCAAAAACTACCTGGACAACGCCGGGGAGAAGGGGATGCAGGATCAGCTGCTGAAGACCCTGAAGGCCATGGAGTACATCTTCAGGTTCATCATGAAATCCAGGATGCTGTTCACCGCGTAAGTGATGGGGGGGCTTGGCAGAGAGAAGTCCGGTAGATAGGGATAGGACCAGAAAATGCCGAGGGCAGTGCATCCCCAGATTATTAAGTCAAGGATTTTGTTTTAATGAGGAAGTGAAGTGGAGGTAGATACACTGATGAGGATATGGGTACGAGGACGGCCTTGAAGGAGCTGAGGACAGTGCAGCACACCTTTAAATTTCACCTGAAACTAGAGGTGCTCTTAACTGTTGATGTCACGAGGATACTGGTTCAGGAAAGACTTTTGATCCAAGAATAAACAATGAATTCAATCTTTTCCCTGTCATATAGATTTACTTGTTTTCTTGTGCAGTTTGCATGGTGACAACACCGGCAAGAACCAATTTGAAGCTCTTCTGAAGGACGTCTTTCAATCTCTCAAATGGCTCATGACGTATACAGCCGACAACGTTCTCCTTTGCCAGGTTAAACTTTAACAGATTTTCTCTGTAGTAATCTGTAACCTCACCTGTGCCCAAGCACACTTTGAAAAATATCTTCATGTTCCCCTACTGTGCTTCCTTCGTTTATTGAACAAGAGAAAAACTAGACGAATTTGACTTGGGCCATCTTTCACATGAAAGAAAATTTTAAATTTCCATATGGTATGCTTTGAAGATCTAACCTTTGATTATTAAAACTGGGTCCTTCTTTACCCTGCTGTCTTTTCTTTCAGGGTGCTTCCATGAAGTACTTGCCCTCCACGCTGACCGACACCATGACCATGCTGGAGCCAGAGGAGCTGGCCGCACTGGTCAAGGAATTCCTGGTCAGCCTGCCGCCCGAGCGTCTGGTCAAGCAGAAGCTGGACTGCATCCGGGACGTGGTGCACAGCGAACTTTTCAAACTCAGACGTGAGTGGTCCCTTGTAGAGCTCGTCACATTGTCTTGACCGGTGGCGGATAGACTTAGAGCTTGGCCAAACTCGGGAATTCCCTTGAGGGATTGAAAATTTAGCCCCTCTGGTGACCGATATTCTGTTGTTTGTTCTCAGAATGTCGAGCGATACTAGTCCCCATGATGGCCGAATTCCTCAAGAATCTCCTGACCAAGAAGGAAGACATGCGGTTGGTGGCGGACGTCCTCAGTGACATCGTGGACACGCTGTGGAGGAAAGACCTGGTGAGTGGCAGTTGTTCCAGAGACATGACCTCTTTTTTGTGGGGAAAATTGCACTTCTGACCCTTTTCTCCCTTTTCATGAATTTTGCATTCAAATATTCAAATTCGGAAAATAATATTTGAAGATTCGATAATTGATCAAATATTCGAATATTCAGCACAGCCCTGGTTCAAATCGATGTTGTTGTTAATCCATCAATTCTTGGTGTCTTATACCTCGTCATATAGTTCGTTACATTTTTTTGGTTGTTTATTGGCAGGGACCAACACACGGGGACATCTCTGAAATCATGCACACGTTACTACGGACCGTCATACAGTCAGTCGTCTTCATGTACATTGGCAACGACGATACTCTCATAGTAAGTTCTGTGACTCATTCTGTTTCATTAGTGCACAAGTTTTAAGCGTGAAATTACCTGTTTCTGGGCTTAGCACATTTCTATACATCCAGGAAATGAGCCCTTTTTCTCACTGCTTTCTTGCAAATGTTTTCGCATCAGGAATGATGATGTTATAACAAGACAGGAAGTGGAAAAGCTTTTGTTTTTGAACCGATTTGTTTTTTTTTAGTTTTTTATTTTCTGCCCAAATCCCACAGACTTTGTGAACTTGTAATTTTTGTTCTGTCACAGGGCAGGTTAGTCAGCTGCCTGATCTCCATCCTCAACCAGATGACGGAATTCCACTACCAGGAGTACATCAACTCCTTCCCTACCCGCACCGACCTCCTGGACTTCCTGATGGAGATCTTTATGGTCTTCCGAGACCTCATCTCCAAGAACGTCTACCCACCTGACTGGGCCACCATGATCGTGCAGCAGAACAGGTGAGTGTCGTCCAAAATCAACTGGCTGCCAGCCAGCGGCTGCCATAGGGGCGTGTGTTAATTCCAGGCGTAGCCATACCTTTTGGACAGAGAGTCTCAAATCTTGGCTTAGTTTTGTCCTCAGTTTCTGTTCTGCAAGTAGATGGTGAGATGATCAATTCCTGTCAAAGACGCCCAGCATATTTTTGGCACTTCATGGCATTAAAGAGTCATCAGTTTGCTCATCTTGACACTGTTTCCCTCCTCCAATTTCCCCCTCTGCCCCCCCCCCCCCACAGAGTGATCCTCATTGCCATGAAGCAGTTTGCCCGTGTGCTGCACCGCTCCTTCGTCCGCATCGACGACTTTGAGTTCCAGCTCTGGAACAACTTCTTTCACCTGGCTGTGGCCTTTGTGACGCAGGAGTCTCTGCAGCTGGAGAACTTCAGCTCCGCCAAGAGGAATAAGATCTTAGAAAGGTGTTGGAGGCTGTAAAAATCTCATCCTGTTGCTTTCCTTGCTTTCTGTGTAGTTTTCCAAGATCAATATTAGTGAAAATTCCCATCTTTTTGCTGTATTGCTGATTCCGCGCTTAATTGCAGTCGGTCATCCACTGAACTCACTTGTCTGGTGTCTTATCTCCTCCTTTTGTATGTCAGATACGGCGACATGCGTCGGGAGGTGGGCTTCGCCATCATCCGCACCATGTGGAATTACCTGGGCAAGAACAAGATCCGCTTCATCCCCGAGATGGTGGGTCCGTTCCTGGAGGTCACCCTGGTGCCCGAGACAGAACTCCGCAAGGCCACGCTGCCCATCTTCTTTGACATGATGCAGTGCGAGTGCAACATCCGTGGCAACTTCAGGGAGGTGAGAACTCCTGTCCCCTTGAAGGAAAAGACTCCTGAATTTGGAGGGAAACCCTTTTTTGAAGTCAGTTTCGTCTCTCATTTTTATTGAGCCCTGGTGATTCTTTCGAGGGACAGTGTATGCTGCAATTTCTGTCTTGGGTAATTGCTCCTCTACGTAGGCAGTGGTCGTGTTTGTTTCGCACGGATCTAGATCACAATGAGTGATCTGTCGTTGGTTTGCAGTCACCATAACTCACCTCATGGAAGGTGTGAACCAGCATTAGGATCACTGATCGGGATCCAGATCCATGTGCATCAAACTAGGCCAGTTATTGGCTCCATTTCCGTTGGCGCTTTCCTTGTGATCAGGGAAAATAATGATTATGCATTAGTTAAGCTGACTAGCAGGAATAAGATTAAATGAAATAAATGTTTAATACGAAGATCATTTTTTGGAAGGTCTTGGTTAATGATGAAAGCTCAGGAATCAATCAACATGAGTATTGTGGCATTTTAGAAAGTGAATATGTAAAGGAAAGTGTTAGATAATGAATGAATCGTTCTTTTATTTTTTTAGTTTGAGCGGGAGATCATCACTCAGTTAGATGCGTTAGTGGAAGGAGGCCACGGTGACCTACAGTACCGGGAACTCTTTGGACAGATGTGAGTAGCATACAAATCGAAACTGGCATCAGCTGATTCATCTGGCTTTGCAAAATGAATTTGGATATGGTATCTCTTTGTTTGCTTTAAAATATTGTCACTCGTGTTTAATTTTCACGAGATTTTATCCTGTCATAGCATAGTACAGTCTTGTTGTTACCGTTTTTGTGAAGATTTTTCATTGTGTAATATTTTACCACTTAAATTTCACAAGTGTTGTGCAGGCCAAGAATGTTTTATCACTGTCGTACCTCTGTCTTGAATGCTGCTTTTTCATTGGACCAGAAGGATCATGTGATGGGGACATAACCGCATGTCACACTCACCGTTAGACATCACATCGGCCGGCGTTTTATGATATCACTCTGCATGCAAGCACGCATGCATGCACCCCTGTCGAGTACAGGATAATGCACACACCTGCCAGTGTTCGAAAGATACTTTTGTTATCCTTCATTTCCCTCAGAAAAACAAGTTAAAAACATCAGCAAGAGATGTTGACTGCCGTGATGTGACATCTGACATTTTTAACACGCTCCGTTATTCATGTTCACCTCTCGCACTGTGCATCACGTCTCGCATCACAGCAGTCATTGTTAAATGTTACTGTTGTCAGTTTCTCTGGGTTTTTTTCTGACAGCATTGGTGAGTACTGCACGCAGAACGTGACCCGATTAGGCAACGAGGGACTGACGTTCATCAAGCTAGTCCGGGAACTGATGGGGCGGTTGCTGGAGTATCGTGACGTCATCCACGACGAGAGCAAGGAGAACAGGATGAGCTGTACCGTCAACCTGCTGGTAATGCCGCCGAGAGAACAAAGAACTTTGTCAGTGTTCACACGGTCATGGAAAAATCCTGGAAATATCTAGGCGACAAAAGCTGTCCTGGAAAGTCCTGGAAGTTGGTTTTCAGATGTCTGTGGGAACCCTGTTTACAGTTTAACCATTATCACCTGCACTGGACTGTTTTGCATTGCATTAGTGCACTGATAAATTCAGAAAACAGAGTGCTAGGGCAACTCTGGGCAGTTTGAGGGAGTAATAGGCCAAGCAGTTTTGACAGTATAGTGACAAATGAGTTTACCCTAAAGCAACTGGTTTTTTTTAACACTTCCTCCACCAGAGTATTCCAACCTTCTCAATTTTGGCCAAAAGGGGACAGATTGTTTTGAAATTGTAGCATGAACCAAGATATGTTTATTTTTAACCTGCCTTCCAAGTTCCAAGGTCATATCTTTGCTTGAAATTATCTTAGTTGGAATTTGTGTTTGCCTGCTTTCTGCAGTACCGAGAGTTGTCCCGTTACGAGTTTTGGGTATTTTTAATTCTGTTATTCAGCTTTCAGACTACTGAGGTTGCAAGTTTCCTAGCAGCCCTCTGCAGCAGGGAACATATGAGTTGAGTTACTAAAAACTGTCACATGTTGGAGTTCATGCACTGAGTAGCAAAGCCCTGTTTGTAAACAGGACACCACAAAACACTAATTTTTTTTCACGTCGTCATTTCCAGAACTTCTACAAGGACATTGACAGGCAGGACATGTACGTTCGTTACCTGTACAAGCTGTGCGACCTGCACTTAGAATGCGACAACTACACGGAAGCCGGCTTCGCACTGCAGCTACACGCTGACAGGCTGCACGTGAGTAGTAATGCCTCATTGGCTGTGTGCCTTAACGATTGAGGGCGCTCTCCGTCATCATTGCTTGATTTTCTAAAATCTGAAAGTAGGTTTAAGTTTCCTGGGTTTGGGCAATCTGTGTTTGGGTATCTGGCTCGCAATCCTATATCTAGAATTTTAGTCTCAAAGGGGTAAAGCTGTCCTTATTCATTTGAAATACCAGAAACTAAAGAATTACATTTGAACATTTAAGAGATGCCATTTTTAAATCTGGGAGTAGATTTCACTGAGCTGCTTAAGTTGAAAATTCTGGCAAGCCACAGATGAATATCACAGCTATAAAAACCAGTCACCTGCCAAAATTTCATTCGATGTCATCCGCTGCTGACTGGTTCTCTGCTTAGTTCGGTGAAATATGTAAATCTGCAATTTAGCAGCTTCGTTAATTCTGTCTTGGTCCAACCAAGACCACAGCATGTCCGAAAGTTCCTAGACTGCTGGAGTCGAGTCTTCACCCGTAGTTGTTTGGACACAGAGTTCAGGATTTGAGTTTGATATGTTGGGTCTCTGCTTTTGTTTCAGTGGTCCGAGAGACCCCTGATGACACACAGTGACAAATACCCAGAGGCACAGACAGAGAGACAACTCAAGGAGCTCCTGTATTATGACATTGTGGATTTCTTCGACAAAGGAAAGGTAAAAAAAAACAAAAACAGGTGTCTTTCCCTAAAAGGATTTTGATTGGCACTTCTGTGGACTGGTGCTATTTATGAATCATAGCGTGGTTTGGATTTACATCAACAACTTAACTTTTTCCTGTGTTGTCTTTCAGATGTGGGAGAAGGGAATCTTGTTGTGTAAAGAGTTGCAGAATCAATATGAGAAGGAGTTGTTTGATTACATTCAGCTCAGTGAATTGCTGGTAAGTTGCTCTGATAATTTGGAAATTCTCCCTCTGTGAAGGTCTTGACGATTTCTTTTTTGGTCTTGATTTCCGAATTCTAAAGTCTGTTTTTTTTTTTTCTCCTGATGCGTGATGCAGCAAAGAATGGCCCACCTGTACGACAAGATCATGAAGATCCCTCGCCCTGCCCCCGAGTACTTCAAGGTCATGTACATCGGCTGTAGCTTCCCCCCATTCCTCAGGGTGAGTTGAGCAACGTCAGTAACCCGCAGATGGAGACGTTGCGCCAACTGAAACAAAGTATCACCAGTAATTATTTATCTGCATTGAGAGAATTTACCCACTGAATAGCTTGTCTTAATTTTATTGCTTGGTCAAAGTAACTTTGAAATCTCTCTGTTATATCAGGCTCTTTCTAGTAGCATAAACTGTTTGTTTCGTTTCTTGTTACACCCCTCGGGTCGGATCTCCAGAACAAAACTTTCATCTACCGGGGCAAGGAGTACGAACGGCTGGCTGACTTTGTGGCCCGGTTACAGCAACAATTCCCCAACGCATCGATGATGAACAAGACCACGCCGCCAGACAGCGAACAGATGCAATCCAAGCAACAAAGTATCCTTGCGATGATAATTACACGTAGCACCAGTGTCCCTAAGCAAGCCTCTTTACAGTGATATCCAATCACTTCATCCAGATTACACCTGATCAAATAGACTTCATTATAATGTGTAAATTCGTATGGCCAACTCTGATACATAGATGCGTAAAGCTAGTTAATTTTAATATCAGAACTCCTTATTGGCATGCCAGTCAGGGGTAATAAGTATTTATCAACTACTTTGATCTGTGTTCATGTGAATGCTGATTAGTTCTTCTTCAGAAGAGATATTTCACATGGTGCAACTGCATACCTACTGCTTGCTACCTTCACCAGGAAAAAAACTTCAAATCTCAACATTTTTGAAATTTGATGATATTTTAATTCCTCATTGTCGATCTTCCTTGACCTGCATCCCTGCAGTCCTCCAAGTTGTCCCAGTTCAGCCGCTACGAGAAGAGAGAAAGGAGTTTAAGAACAAGACGATCTGTGATCAAATCTTGAGGTAAGACAAAAAAAATGAAAGGGATCGGCTTCCCCTGTGACCTGATTAAACCCATGTCATTTACTCAAAGATTGAAGCATCTGCTTCAGTGTGATTATTGCAAAGATGAAAAATTACTGCACCAACCACTTTCTTGACTGATTTTCTGGTAGTGTGTTATGTAACAGCTGCTTTCCGTAACTTACCAACCACTGGACAGCGTAAACTATAGACTTTTTTATCCACGTGACTCGATTGTGCTAAATGTAAACAATACCACCACGTGTGGACCGCCGTGGCCACGGTGATAGCATATATTCCTAATGGCAGCTTCAACCACGTGCAAGCGCACATGAGAATGCTGCATGCTTGACTAGTTTATCTTGAATAAGTAGATTACCATCACAACACATCACAGGTCCAGCACGATCGTGACATCACAGGAATAAGGTCTATAGGTATGACATGAACATAATCACTCATGCTGTTACATCACCTCACAAGGTAACATTCTTTCATTTGGACACTGTCGGCGTCCAGTTACTATGCAGTGAATGAGGTACAGAGGTTCTCCTACTCAAGAGCCTTCCACAGAGAAGCGAAGGACAAAGACAACGAATTTAAGGCAAGTACTGAATCAATGAATCCACCTTTGACCTTTGACTTTAAGTGATCCACTCTTTTCCGTTGCCCCTTTTGAGATGTCTGAAGGTGAGTTGTGCTTTGTTTCCCTCTTATTCTCATGGTCTCTGGTTTTTTAACAGACGATGTGCATCGAGAGAACCTACTTCACCACTGCCTACAGGCTGCCGGGCATTCTTAGATGGTTTGAGGTCATTAAAACATCCTCCGTAAGTCAGGATACCAAAGATTTTGTGTTTGCCATGAGTGTCAAATCTTTGTAGAGCGAAGTTCAGTGTCTCTTATCATGTAAGATATTCAGTTCATGAGATATTCTGACGTCTGACCCTTGACCTGATCCCATGCAGGAGGAGCTGACCCCCATCCGCAACGCCATCGACACCATGGAGGATGCCAACAGCAAGCTGAAGCAGATGATTGGCCAGTACCAGGCGGACTCCAGCCTTCCCATCAATCCCCTGAGCCTGCAGCTGAACGGCGTGATTGACTCGGCCGTCATGGGTGGGCCGGCCAAGTATGAGCAGGTGAACAACTTGTCTGGAAAGGAAAAAAGCGTTGGAAGTTCTGGACTGAAAACATCCTCGAAAGGAGGCTGAAAAATGGTTTGAAATGATTCATTGTAATAAGGATCTGCAATTCAGAAAGTTAAAGAGGGTTTTCTGGCAGTTTTTGTAGGTAGGGGAATCGGTTGGGGAATTTTTATGCAACACAAAAGAATTATTAATGATGTGGAGTGCAGCTAGACAGATATTTAGGGGTCATAGACCTACTTTGGGGCATCAGACTTACTCTTGCAAGCGTAGGATCCACATAAACTAAACTGAGCTCCAGTTGGCATGCTTATATTCTTACCCCTGCTCGTCAAGCCACTAAATCATTCCCATGATGCCTCATGGACTAGATGTGTTTTGTTTGACCTTAGGCTTTCTGCACTGATGTGTACGCTGCCGAACACCCTGAGAATGGCATCCACATCACGAGACTAAAGGAGCTCTTTGCCGAGCAGGTGAGTACGTGATGCCATGCGTTTAAGACCCTGACTTCAGCTGCCAGTGACCCTAGCTTTATTCCCTCAAGCCCTACCCTGTCAGTCAGTCTTGATATATCTGTGAATCTTGCGCTCTGTTTGAAACTTAAATCTGCTATTGCCTTCCCTGTTGCTTCTCCATTTTAAAGCTTGGTCCCACGAGTGAGAGCAGTACTAAAGAACTGATCAGACTCTTCATAAAAGTTAGGAAAAGAACTTTTGAGTTTGACCCTTGTGAATTATTTGCAACACCAGGTAGCGTTGGTGGAGGTGGGTCTGATGCTCCATCGCAACAAGATGAAGGAGGACTTGAAGCCGTTTCATCAGAAGATGGAAGTGATGTTTGAGAGGAGGAAGGAGCAAGTGGAGGAGCGATACGGCAAAAAGGTAGTGACTAGAGACCAGTATTGTAGT